CAATCAGATCTGCACGATGCTTAATTAAAGTGAATTTGATTTCTTAAAAATGTGGCAACCCTTCGTTTAGAAGTAAAGCATTTTCTAAACCATTTCAGTTGACACCCATATTGGATATATCTAATTCATTTAACTTAAATAAATAAAAATTTGAATAAAATTTTTAACAGGTGGCAACCCTTTCCAAAAGAATAAAGCTTTATTGCACATTAACAGCCCTAGCTCTGTCATTTGAAACCTCACTTTTGAAAATAGAACTAACTATATAAACATACCTATGAAATGCGACAAGAACCCAAATTGTCAACTTCAAACTGCATTTACAGTGAAAGTATAAAAGTTATCCAAAAACAAATTGCATTTTTGAATTTAACGTCCTCAATTTTACTAAGAAGCGAATTTTCATTTAAATCCGTCCATAATTCTATTTTTGCCCACATTTTATATGGAAAGGAAGCACTGTGCTACAGTGTGCCACGTAAATAAAAAAGGCTCCTAAATTTTTTGTTTGTATTTGTTCGATAAGTGCTACTGTGATCGAAGTGTATATGTCTTAAAATTTTAGATACTATTGATATGAGTTCAAAACTAGCTATTGTTTGAAAGATAATTGGTTTTGTTTACTGGCACCGTCAGTAATTCCACCTGAAGCACTAACTGATAGATTTTTTAAAGTACCTGAACCATTCTATTTTTTATTAAACCACCGTTCTTTTAGTACTTTATGCACTTTCTATACATTACTTGGCTATTTTTTATAGGCTTATTATGTTTGTTTTATAAACATTTATAGACCTTTTGCGCCGTGTGTCGAATTCAGAACTGCTGTTGTTTGAAAGATCATCACTTTTGTTTGGCGGAACTATTGACCGTTAATATTTTTTTTTTTTAACTTAACGAACAGATGGGCTAGCAAAAATATCGCTTATTTATAGCATTGCAATATCTTTCTGATAATACTATATTTTCATACATTTACCTATAATCCCATTATGAAATTTGTAGGGTGTCGGGTAAGCTAGTAGGCTATAAAACTGCATAGCAAAATTTTATCTAAAAATTCTAATTAAAGAGTTTGGAGTTTTGATGAAACTTTGTCGAATTTTCCAAATTTTTGTATACAGGTTGAAATTTGGACTTACATTGACTTTTTTAGATAATGAGCTATGTATACTTCTATAAAAAAAAAAAAAAACATTAAACAAACGAAAAAAAAGTAGCCAAAACTTGTTAAAATATCGCGACCCCATTTTTGTCCGACATACATACACTAGCCAGAATATGTCTCCGTATGTTGATTTCTTTTTTTTTAAATATTTGCAATGTTTTTCGTAATAAATTTTTTTCGTTTATTTTTAATAGAAATATAGTTCATTCTGCATCAAATGGCATATAATTTATGATTCAAAGTTTTTACAAAATTTAGGAAAATTCGACAAATCATCACCAAAATTTTCAACTATTAAACCAAATTTTTTAGAATTTTTTTGAGTATGCGGTTTTGGAGCTCACTCAATTTCGGTACAATTAAATGCAAGTTTTAATTGGCTATAATCTACCGTTGATTATTGAGAATTTTTTTACTGACGCTCTTCGGTATTTTTTCCCATACAAAAACAAAACCTATCACGCATGATACAATAATTTTTAGAAGGTAGTTCCACTTCTTCTTCTTATCCGCCATGTTAGCTATCTGACAGAAAACGTGTTTCGTATTTTTTGTTGTACCAACTTAAAAAAAAATCCAGCTTTTGATGTTGGAAAAATAAATAATAATTTTCGAATATTTTTTAATAATTTTCTTCATAAAAAATTAACTGCTGCTTTCGTGGATATTGCAACACACGGAATAGATGCTATAACGAATACAGCTATAAGAGCCACCGCATACCACAGCCTTTATCGGCCGCCTATTTAAATAATAGGGCTCGCTTTAAATATGTACATGAAGATGTATGGAGGTGCGCACACTACACCAGNACTAGTGTATACAGTCAGTCAATAAAGTTTAGGTACAGCGAATTTTTTACAATACGGGCAACTATTTTTCAAATATTTTATTTTTAGCTAATTTTTTATAAAAATATGGTTAATTCTACAACAAAAACCCCAAAAATCAAGGTTCCAAACCTTGTGCAAAATTAAAGAAAAATCTGCAAAATTTCATTCAAATATTGCANGTTTTTATGATTTTTATTCATGTGATTAGCAGTGACAAAAATTTATGTATTAAATACGTATATTTATATTAAAAATTAAGTGATCAGTTATGAAACATATCGCTAGCTTAGAAAGAAAAGTTGCTAAGTCCCATTTTAAAAATTTTACAGGAGAGGAAAAAATCTGCATATAGCCATTTTCTTTAACTATTTCGCAAGACTTTGAATCAAACATTTTGCGCGTCTAAAGCAAAGCAAAACTGCATAAGAATCAGAAGGATTCGCTATTTATTAAAAGATGTCGTATTATTTTCGCCTCATCGGATTTGTGGTGCTTCTTTTGGACTTAGCAAATTTTCCTTTTATGCCTTATGAAGAGGAAAAAATAAAACAAGTACCTTTATAATTTTCGAAACGATGCGTAGTCAATTTCTCTAGCCTCCTATATCAAAATATGAGTTTTCATAAAAAGTGGACTTAGCAACTTTGCACTCTAAGCTAGCGATATACATCTTTACATGTTCTGTTAAAAAATATCTAAAATAACAAGCGAAAATACCCAAGTTCTATATCGTAGCAGTGGCCACATTGCGTGTTGTCACAGAAGAAGTGAAACTACCTTCTAAAGATTATTGTATCATGCTATCACGCATCCGCTATATGGAGAAAACGTGCAACATCATCAGCAGAAAAAATTCTCAAAAATCAACTGTAGTTTATAGCCACTTAAAACTTGTACTTTGTACTGGTTTAAAAGTTGAAAATTTTGGTGAAAATTTGTCGAATTTTCCTAAATTTTGTAAAAACTGTAAATCATAATTTATATGCCATTTGATGCAGAATGAACTATATTTCTTTTAAAAATTAACGAAAAAAATTTATTACGAAAAACATTGCAAATATTAAAAAAAAACACTGTACGGAGACATATTCTGACTAGTGTATACAGTCAGTCAATAAAGTTTAGGTACAGCGAATTTTTTACAATACGGGCAACTATTTTTCAAATATTTTATTTTTAGCTAATTTTTTATAAAAATATGGTTAATTCTACAACAAAAACCCCAAAAATCAAGGTTCCAAACCTTGTGCAAAATTAAAGAAAAATCTGCAAAATTTCATTCAAATATTGCACTTTTTATCTACGCTCTCTAGAAAAAAGTTGAGTATGCAGTTTTTTAGCCCATTCAATTTTAGTATAACAAAGTGCAAGTATGAGGAAGCTAGGACTTACCATTGATTATTGGGACATTTTTTTGTTGAAGGTGTCGCACATTTTTTCCATATAAAAAAAATCAAACATTATTTTATATGGAGAAAATGAGCGACACCTTCAACAAAAAAAAATGCTAAAAATCAATGGTAAGTCCTAGCTACCCCAAACTTTCACTTTGTTATACTAAAATTGAATGGGTTAAAAAACTGCATACTCAACTTTTTCTATAGAGCGTAAATAAAAAGTGCAATATTTGAATGAAATTTTACACAAGGTTTGGAACTTTGGTTCTTGGGGTTTTTGTTGTAGAATTAACCATATTTTTATAAAAAATTGGCGATAAATAAAATATTTAAAAAATAGTTGCCCGCATTGTAAAAAATTCGCTGTACCTAAACTTTATTGACTGACTGTATGNTTTGTAAAAACTGTAAATCATAATTTATATGCCATTTGATGCAGAATGAACTATATTTCTTTTAAAAATTAACGAAAAAAATTTATTACGAAAAACATTGCAAATATTAAAAAAAAACACTGTACGGAGACATATTCTGACTAGTGTATACAGTCAGTCAATAAAGTTTAGGTACAGCGAATTTTTTACAATACGGGCAACTATTTTTCAAATATTTTATTTTTAGCTAATTTTTTATAAAAATATGGTTAATTCTACAACAAAAACCCCAAAAATCAAGGTTCCAAACCTTGTGCAAAATTAAAGAAAAATCTGCAAAATTTCATTCAAATATTGCACTTTTTATCTACGCTCTCTAGAAAAAAGTTGAGTATGCAGTTTTTTAGCCCATTCAATTTTAGTATAACAAAGTGCAAGTATGAGGAAGCTAGGACTTACCATTGATTATTGGGACATTTTTTTGTTGAAGGTGTCGCACATTTTTTCCATATAAAAAAAATCAAACATTATTTTATATGGAGAAAATGAGCGACACCTTCAACAAAAAAAAATGCTAAAAATCAATGGTAAGTCCTAGCTACCCCAAACTTTCACTTTGTTATACTAAAATTGAATGGGTTAAAAAACTGCATACTCAACTTTTTCTATAGAGCGTAAATAAAAAGTGCAATATTTGAATGAAATTTTACACAAGGTTTGGAACTTTGGTTCTTGGGGTTTTTGTTGTAGAATTAACCATATTTTTATAAAAAATTGGCGATAAATAAAATATTTAAAAAATAGTTGCCCGCATTGTAAAAAATTCGCTGTACCTAAACTTTATTGACTGACTGTATGTACATATATTTTTTTTTCTTCTGTCACCTAGTGTAATTTTTCGTTGATCGTCACTACAACGTGCTAAATTATAACGGATCTATTGTGGCGACACGTCGTTTATGCATTAAGTATCAATCGCGATTTAAATGTATGTTCAGCTTCATGTGTTTGGAGTTGTGTTTGTTAGTGTGTTGGCATTCATGTGAGTACGTGTAAGTTTTGTTAATATTTAAGGTTTTAGATTTTTTTATTTTTTCAAAATGAAGTCATCTGAAAAATTAACTTAAACAGAAAAATAGAGATTTGAAAATAATTACACGACAATTAATGTGAAAAACAATAATCGCCTAATGTAAAAAAAAAAACGAATAAAAAACACTTTTCTTACCGGTACTGAAATCTGTTGAGAGAGTTAAAATACATATGTGGTTTTCAAATTGTTTTTTGGAGGTTTATAACATTTGATTATCAAATGCAAAGTTTCCGGTTTTTGTTTCGGGTTTGTTAACGGGTTTTCCATTGTCGTATATAAATATGTATCATATATCATATATATATACACATACATATATATATCATATTTATACACATACATATATATATATCATATATATACGCATATATATATATATATATATCATATGTATAGACATATATTTTTTTCGTTGAGTTTTTAGATATAAGATGATTTAAAATGTTTTGATCAAAGTATTTTTTGGTTTTTGTTTTTTTATTATTATTATTGTTTTGGTTTTTTGAGGGTTTTGGTCAGTCAACCATTCAATCAATCAATCAGTCAATCGGAGTGTGGTTTTAAAGCATTTAAAAAAATGAGAAATGAAAGTATTGTATTAGAGCTATTTAGCAATTATATATCGTAAATATATAAATATATAGTTTTGGAAAATATAATAAAACAAAAACAGATTTCATAATATGCATAGATGATGTTTCAATTGTATAATGGTAATTTGGTTTGTATATATACAACTAAGAGCTGTTAAAGTACTGCTAAGCCTTTACTAAACAATGGCATACACCTATGGGAATATAGGGTATGAAAAGGCTGAATTTGTTTGTGGTGTTATATTGATTAATGTCTTTAACGTAAAAAAAGAGGCGTGGGAGTTATGGGGAAAAGTGAACATACCCTGACATAAGCTACACAAAAATACATGTAATTAAAAAGGAGTATGTGAGCGAAAGATGTATAGTATACCAGTTTGTAACTATAAATTTGGTTGGAAAAATATAATAACCATAACCGTGAATTTATAAAACTAGTATTATAAATAACCGAATGAAATAAAAATATATACCATAAGTCTTTAGAAACGTCGTATCATGTCAAAGTAACTCTTAAATATATGGAAATATTCCAGTATCTACGAGAACGTTAGTTCAGCTGTAAATTAATTTTTTACAGTCAATCAATTAAATTCAGGAACAGCGATTTTTTTGCAATACGGGCAACTGTTTTTTAATTACTTTATTTTTCGCAATTTTTTTATAAAGATATGGTTAATTCTACAATATAAACCTCAAAAATCAGAGCAAACCTTATGCAAAATTAAAGATAATTCTGCAAATTTTCATTAAAATATTGCACTTTTTAATTACAATATTTTGAAAAAAGTGAATTATGCAGTTTTTTAGACCATTCAAAGTGCGAGTCTGAGGTAGCTAGGACTTACCATTGATTTTTGACAAATTTTTTTTGTTGAAGGTGTCGCTCATTTTCTCCATATAAAAAAATTTGCCAAAAATCATTGATAAGTCCTAGCTACTTCAGACTTGCATATTGTTATACTAAAACTGAATGGGCTAGAAAACTGCATACTCAGTTTTTTCTAAAGATTGTAATTAAAAAGTGTAATATTTTGATTTAAATTTGCAGAATTTTCTTTAATTTTGCACAAGGTTCGGAGCTCGGATTTTTGGAGTCTTGGTCGTAAAATTAACCATATTTTTATAAAAAAAAATTGTGAAAATTAAAATAATTAAAACAAAAGCTGCCCGTAATCGATGTACCTAAACTTTATTGATTGACTATATGTATATCAAACCAGTTATATCCACTGTATTCGAAGTACGTGTCGCTAATTTTTTGGAAGAATGTTATAACTCAAAAAATGTGAGCTAAACGGCTTTAGAGTTTTGAGTCAAGTTTTTCCCCATGATCATAACTAAATATGAGAAATCGTAAACTATATGTGTTTGATTACGAAGTTTTTCTATCAAACGAGCGATATGTACATACATACATGGCATGAATCTAATCTACGGGAGCTACATCATATTTTATTAAAAAAATTATAAGTGATAGCAAAACTGGATGGGCTGAATCTACTTTCAAATTCTATAAATCTCTTGAAGCTGATGATCAGGGAACGGATTTTATGGAAATTGCCTTTTTTCTGCTAAAGAAATAGAGCATATCCGATTAAGAATGTCCACGATTTAGCTTTCCCTGATTCCATATATACACATTTGATGTTGCCTTTTTTAAGATATTTGCCTTTTTTTTGCCTTTTTTAAGATATTTGCCATTTTTTGCATTTTCTACCTTTAAAAAAGTGATTATAGCATTTAAAATTTTTTTTTTAAAGAATACAAAATACACACATGCCCATGCGGCTTATAGAAGCGCAGGGACCTCTTGCCAAATTGGTGTTGGAAAAATTCAAAGCCGTTTTCTCAGCTAACGTAGGCTTGGAGACCATAAGGGGTGTGGATAAAATTGTATAGGGCGGAGAAAACGCCCTTATTCGTGATAATATGAACATTTCAAACGTTCCATATTTAAATTGGGCTCCTCTTGTATCAACTTGCGTCGAGCGAACATTTAATACATTCAAGGATTTTCTTCGCGAAAATCGTATGAAAATGCTGCCAGAAAACTTCAAAATGCATCTTGTGATTCAATGTTACTGCAACTATACAGATTAAAGTTTTATGAGTTTGAAACTCGAAAGGATAAAATAGTCAAAGATTCAAAGTACAAATTTTTCATATAATGAAACTAGTTCATAGTTTTTCTCTTTTTACTTGTAATATAAACATTTCTAAAATAAATATATTTTTTGATTGTTCTTTGTATTTTCGGTCTTTTTTTAGTGCCTTATTTTGATTTTTTTGCAATACCTAGTGCCTTTTCCTGCCTTTTTCGCTATTTTGGTTTGCCTTTTTTTGCCTTTTTTGAAATACCTAGTGCCTTTTCCTGCCTTTTTCGCTATTTTATTTTGCCTTTTCCAGAGTATTTCGTTATTTTATTTTGCCTTTTTTATAGGTTTTTAGGTCCTAAAAATCCGTTCCCTGCTGATGCTATTTACCCGGCCCACCTACAACATATCTTGAAGAAACGTATTGAAGGATGGTTAAAACCAGGAATGGAAAATAATCATTATTTTTTAAATTTTAACCAAAAAACAACAAGTTGCAATCGTAAAATAATTTTAACTATATGCACGTATTTGTGTTCGTACGTCCTACTACAATTTACAATAATTTTTATTTTTCGAGTTTAACCAGTAAAGATAAAAAATAGTAATTAATATTTGAGTTGATTTTTTTTCGTTCAAAAGAAATTATTATCACTTGATTTTTATTTTTTCGATCAAAAATAATGATTATTTTATGATTTTTTTTTGCTCAAAGATAACACAGGTTTACAAAAAAAAAGTGTATGCATATTAAACCAAACCTATATATCCCTATGTTATTCGACATGCTGAATGCGGAATCCGAGGTCCGTTAGTCTCCACCACGTCAGGTTCGTGGTCATTTGAAGGTCAGGTAGGGAAAAATTCATTGAATAAACCTGAAAATTCAATAAAATTCATTACCTTAGCATGATCTCCAGATGACCTTGAGGAATCAAGGGACCTCCATACTCGGTTTCAGTGGCAACAAAAACAATTTTTTTAATTTTTAATTTTATTGAATAAATTTTATGTCCTATTTGACCTTCAAATGACCTCGAAGCTGACATTATGGTGGTTAACGGACCTCGGATTCGGGTTCAGGGAATTAAGACCTTATGTATATCGTCGGCTTAGAGTGTAAACCTGCTAAATCCTTTTTTTGGCAAAATTGACCTTTTGATGCAGTTCGAAGGAGTAGGTGATTCCGCAGTTGGCAAGCAAAAAAATACGTCAATATAAAAATATAATTGTCAAAAATTGTTTGATGAGTAAAGCTGCTAAGTACAATCAGTTCAAATTCAACTGCTAAATCCAACTTATTGTGCTTCTGTCGCTCGATTATTGTTCTAACTTAGAGTATTACTTTATGCGTTTAAGCCAAGGTAATAGCCAGCAAATAGGCTTTAATTTTTTATATCTCAAGGAAATTATTTTTACTTGTTGAACGAAACAGAAGGAAGATTAAATGCAGAAGAGTTTTCCAGCGTGTGGGTAGATTTGATAGAAAAAAATGTAGTACCAAATAATAGTTCCGGGGAGCCAATTGCAGTAATTTTTTATAGCGACGAATGCACATATCAAAACCGAAACTCTATTATGGCTAATGCTTTGTTATCCACAGCTATAAATAACAATATCATTATTGAGCAAAAGGTTCTTGAAGTAGGCCATACCTAAATGGAAGCTGATTGTATCCATTCCACTATCGAACGAGCACTTAAGAAAATAGATATCCATGTTCCTGCAGAATACATTAAAGTATGAAGATCAGCTAGAAAAAATTCAAAACCATATGACGTAACTTATCTTAGTTACACGTTCTCTAAAAGTTTTAACACAGTTCAATTCTTTAATAGAACTCGTCCCGGTCGCGGCAAAGGTGCTGCTAAAGTAACTGATATACGTACCCTACGGTATACACCAAGTGGCGACATACATTTCAAACTAAGATTCTCCAACGAATGGGAAGTAATACCGCAAAGAAAATCCCCAGTAGCTGTTTCCTTGCCGTTTTCTCACCTTCCGAATTTATACGAGAGTAGGCGTACGATTGCTCGCAGAAAGTATGACTTCTCCAGTATTTCAAACGATTACTTCCTGAAGATTACCACGCCTACTATAACAATTTACCTCATGATTGAATAATATGTATCATACTTTCTGGCATTATTGAGCTCCTACTTAAATTATCTTATATGTGGTCTTTGTACTATTAATTTGAGAGAAGAATACTTCACGTATAGTTACTAATCTATGTTTTATAAACTGCCTATTTTTGTTGCAATAAACGGAAGAATAAATCTGTTGTATTTTTTTATATATATAATTGTTTTTATCTATGGAATACTATTTGAATTAACATTTAAATTGAGCTCGTAATCACAAAAAATAAAATAGAAACAATTTTATTCATACAAAAAACCTGCTAAATCCACTTCAATTTTGAAGATACAAAAACTTAAACCTGCTAAGTAAG